TGTATCTATAATCATATTTTGTTTATTCTTTAATAATTACCAATATCATCTCCTTCACCAAATCATACCTTGTCTCCTTACTCCTACACTACCTCAAGTTCATCGATTCTACTCTCCTTCTTAAACTTTTAGATCTTTTTGATAATATCTTTGCCTTGTCTTCTTTAAGTAATAATTGATATATTAATATTATTAGATTTTAAGTTCCTTTCTTGCTGGTGAAATTTGTATATGTCATTACTCTAAATGCTTCTTAATTATCACTCAACTCACAATATTCTTCTTCAAAGAACTTCTTGAAAAAGTTTGAAAACATCGATGCTAACTTATGATTGTTAAAAAAAAATCTTTAGGCATTTCCAAAAAGGATAAATTCAAAAAGGCGTGATCTTCACGCTTGCTTACTCAATTAAGAATCATGTATCTAATGCTTGGAAAATATGGCTTCATATGGTAAATAAATATGGTAACTCATTTTCAGATTTTTAGATAAGCACTGACTCTTTTCTTTTCTTTTCTTGGTGATAACAGTAGTCATTAGATATACATTTAGTGGGTCTGTTGAAGGAAAAAGACGATGATTGATCGATTTAAACAAATTTGTAATATAATCACAGGTGATAGCTAGTACTTTCTTTTTTCTTTTTTTAGTTTTACTTTATATATTTCTTTTATAATTAATAAAGTTACTAGCAGTACCACATCGTAAAAAAAAAAAAGTTTTTTCTATATTTAAAAATCTGTATCATACTGCAAATCTGTTATATTGTGAAATTCTTTATATCAAAATTCGTTATAGAAAGAGTTGACTGTAATCATGATAGGATACTAAAAGATTTTTGATTGATATCATTAAAGGATATAAGATATAATCTATTTCTAACTACAAGTTATTCTAAAAATAACATCATTTTGATTATTTTGATTTTAAAGTTACAAATTTCAACTTTTGGATTTTCATTTTTAACTTTATATATATACAAATAGCTTTTAAAATTACTACAATATTTTGCATAAAGCCATTAAAAATATTAAATCATTATTTACATTGATTTAATATCAAAAGTTATTATAAAATCAGTATAAAATTCTTATATTATAAAATTAATTTTAATTAAATAATAATTTATTATTTTTTTTTTAATATTAATTTAGCATTTTTATACTTTAACATTAAATTAATATTAAAATTTTCAAAATCCTATGTTAATTTAACATTAAAATATTGTTTTATTTATATTGAATTTCATTAAGAAAATTTTCCTATAGTCTTGAATTTAACCTAATCAAAAATTTGTTAATGAAATTAAAAAAAACATGTTTGAAGCAATAAAAGTAAAACAGACTAACTTTTCTGTACTTAAATAACAGATAAAAGGCTTTACTTCTGAGAATTTTGGAAATTTAATATATCTTAACAAAATTGATATAAATGGTAATTATTTATTATTCATATTAAAATAACTTTTATTTAACACACTTTTTCTCACTTTTGAATAACAACTGTGAATAACATATTCATTATCATATATTTTACAATCTATTTTAGTTATTTTATTTTTATTGATCTTATCAAAGTTATGTTCAACTATATTACAATAATCAACAAATAAACAGTGTTGGTGGCACATGTTTCAAGTTGCTATAAATAAAGAACTTTTTTCTAGTAATAGATTTTCCTTTATTTTTTCTTGATAATATTAGATAAATTTATCTAAAATCCGACGTATTTTCTACTCACTTTTTGATAAAAAAGTTGTCTCGTTAAATTTATTTAATTCGGAAATATATATTAATAAACTTTATTGATTTGATTATTAATAAAGATAATATATAATTTAGTGATTAAAAAAAATTAATTGTCAAAGAGTCACCAATGAAAAAACAAATTTATGATTTTATTAATTAATCGTTATCATACAGTAGCTTCAAAATAAGAATTATCTCTAACATAAGCAAATTTAGCAGTATAAATTCTACCAGTATTCTTGTTTCTAGCGGTAGCCGTAATTAATAGTTCACCAAACATTAAACTAAATTCTACGGGTCTATCAATACCATGCTCTATATCAGGTAAACCAATTTCTAATTCTCCAATTTTATTAATACCAGTTTCATCACAAAATCTAGTACCATTTTTAGGTGTTGCATAAACATTAAATCTAATAGTAGTTTGATCCGGATAAATTGGATAATATGTTCCTGAACATGGTTCATCTGCTGCAACTTCTCTACCGCGGGCTGCTAGACAATTAAATTTATATATGCGGCCGTCAGCAGTTTTTCTTTTCTTTGGATCAACTCCAGAACGCCACAGCGGATATATTCGAATTCCTGTCAATTATCAACATAAGTATGCAAAATTTTTTTGTTGCATGTCAATAAAAAAAAAAAATTGTTTACGTTACCATAATTCATTGTGAGAACGCGAGTGGCAACAGATGCTTTGTTAAGTCCAAATAAAACAGCTCCACGTAAAACAGCAGTAATAGGATTTTGAGGTACCGTTATGGTAGATGCAACCGATCCAAAAGTTTCCTGTACTCTTTTGACCAAATATGGACTTTCGGCGAATCCACCAACCAAAAATATTGCAGAACATTTTTTCCTTTGCTTAGGAGAGGCCAATTGATTTCTTATCAACTTTAAAATTTTATCAACAATAGGGTCGAACATAGCCAATACATCATTAAATGTAATTTCAATTAACCATTCTTCTTCTTCCATATCCTCTATGATATTTTCATCTTTGACACATTTCATTAATGCTGGACATATTCTTTCGATATCCAAATCAATATTACGAAAATCATGTCTATCTCCTTGAAATCCGAATTTTACTCTTGGACAAAAAAAACGATGAATCAAATATTGATATTGACCATAATGTTCCCTTCTAAATTCTTCCATCGATGCAAGTCCTAATTTCTTTTCAAGGAATATAATGAACTCCCTGTCGACATATGTACTTCCACATAAATCACCTGTACGTTCGGTAATTTCGCTTAATTTGCTATCGGGCAACAAATTTCGTGTCGTCAAGTCCACCGTACCACCGCCGCAGTCAACGACCATAAATGAAGCTAAAGCAATTAATATTTAAAGGAAGAGATTTTAATATAATTTTAAAATCGAGGTCGTCTAAATCAGAATTACAATGTAACATACATCCTGTTTTAATCTTATGTTCTTCAAGTTTTCCCATGGTATAAAGCGCTGCGGCCTCGGCTATAAATGAAAGAAAACTTATTAAATAAATATATAAATATATATATATATATTTCAAGATTAAAGTTTTTATATTTCTCGTTACTTACGTTCTGTGGTAAATTCTAGATTGTTGTTTGATTGTCGTTTTTCGGTAAATCCAGCATCGTAAATACAATCTTGAAGAATTCCAAGAGTATAAGGTTTCCTAAACAAGATTTTGTTTTTTAAATTTGTTATGTACGTATATTATTATTATGCATGTGAATCACGTGAGACCAGTTACCATTCAGCGGGTATGGTGAAGACGAAACGAACTTGCGTAAATTTAATGCCAGGCCATCTTTTAGTTAAAATTTCTTCAATCAACTATAAAACCAAAAAAAAAAGAAAGGGAATCTTATCAATTCTAACACAAAAAGTTCGACCTTTTATATTACTTACAGGTTTCATTTTAGCCAAATAATCCGTAATGGCTTTTTGATAATCAAGGCCTTCAGGAAGGTATGGTTTTTCATAATGACTAAGATTATCAGCCAAATGTAATTTAAATAATTCGACGGGTAAATTTTTAATTGTTGAACTATTGGAAGCATGGCGACGAGTTCTTCTAGCCGGTTCTTCTGCTAATGCAGGAAATCCCCAATAATTTACTGTCCAACTTTTTGGGTCGGATGATGTTGTATCATATTGAAGAACTGTATTGGTTTTTGGCGATGTTAATTTTGTATTATTTTGTCCGGGCCTATGGTAGACGATAAGGGAAGGATATTGGGAAAAAAGATAATAAGTAAAAGGATTTTAAGCCATGCGGAAAAGTAAATACTTAAACCATACCATGAATCGTGAACTGTAATATCTGGATTTATGTGATAAGCGTAAGCGAATCCTATGTGCAACAGATAAAAGAGGAAAATTTGTTTTTACATATAAATTTTGTCAAAATCATATTCCAGTAAAAAATATATATATATATATATTACCTGAATATGTAGTCCCAAAGTCTTAATGTATAATTAAAAAAAGTCAAGAAAGAATACACGAGAGAGAGACAGATTAATTTCGTAATTTCGTTAAAGTAAACATAACTTATTTTTTTATTATGTTACCTATGGCGACAACAACGCGAAAATCTCTAAGGCTCATGATTGAAGATATAAAATTTTCTTTGCGCAGTAAAAGTGAGCACTTTTAACAAAATTGAATATCTCCAAGGTTATTTTTTTTTTTTTATGCAAAAAAAAAGTTCTTGGAAAATTAACGCTAATTTTAAAAGTTGAAATGATGAAAAGACATTCCGGAATATTGATTAAAAATAGGCTTCAATTCTCAGTTGCTTTGTTCTTGATTTGAATGATAAAACCATACAATTTATGATCTAATTTAAGACTTTTAAAATCAATATTTATTAAATAAATGAGTCATATCCGTGTATTCGAGAGATGGTAAACAATATGATTAAGATAAAAACGTGTTTTCAATGAATTATGATCATAATTATTGTAATTGTGTCCGAAATTGGAATTCATATTTAACCTTTTAACAAAGAAAACAGGATAAGGATGAAAACACTTTTATTCTTTTATTGTAATCACGGAGGTTTACTCCGAATAATCATGCATTTCTTATCGAAAATATCTATTATTGTAAAAACCTTAAATTGAATACTCGGCGCAGCAAAATTAAAATACCTTGGTATATTTAGTTCCTTTTTTTTTTTTTTTTTTTGGAAAGGCGTTTATTATTTTTTTTAAAAAATAAATTTGTTCCGAAGCAAAAAGAGTAAAGAAAAAATGGGTGGATCAAGTGATTCAAATGAACCTCGTAGAACTAAAAGTTCGGCTTCCAATGGAAATACTAATAACGACACAAATTCAACTTTATCAAATTCACCTTCGACCTTTACGTCATTTACGTTTTCTGCTCCTGTCCAGCCAATAGATCAATCACATTGGAGCATAGTGGAATGGTTTGGAAATGGTTCCAACTGGCAAGTTGATTTCGCCAAATGGATAATTCTAGCGATTGAAGAACCTAGAGAAAGTTCAGAACAACCTAACATTGAAACAGGAGTGAAGATAATTAATAGAGAAATTGAAGAATTATATTCAGCAGGAATGATTCCTAAAGAAACTTATAATCCTTGTTTAGATATAATCAATAAATGTAAAATTTTTCGTTTAAATCCTGATAAAGATAAAAGGGAACATTTATTGCAAATGATATTTAATCGTTTACAAATGAAGTATAACGACGCTATTCAAATAATTAATATGTTAAGACAAATCAGTATTGAACAACGTTCAGTTTTAAGATTTATGACTCATCAAAAAGTTCAAGCAAAGATCGCTTATTTGAGAACTACTTTAAAATCCCACAAGACAACTTATGATATGGAAAGATATCATTGCATTACAAATCCATATTACGATGAGGTATTTAAACAAAAACAAGCGGCTGTTCTTGAATGTAGCAATTTAAACGCTTCTATTAAAGCAGTTAAAGCTTCGAATGTCGAATTAAATGAGAGGTATAGTGATATATTTAACGACCACCACAGAGTCAATCAAGAATTAATTGAACTCAAAGAGAAAAATGAAAAATTGTATAATGAAGTTAACGACAATAAAATATTAACCACCAAATACGAAAAACTTGTCGTTACCAACAAAGAATTACTCAAAGCGAAAGAAGCATTAAAAAAACAAGGGGAAGAAATTGTTAAAGAGATTATGGAGAATCATACTAAGATGACCCAAGACCGTGATAAAATGATTAAACAACTTCAAGAAGAAGCCAAAGAATTACGTCAAGAAGCAAAATCTGCTAAAGAAGAAGCAACAACTTATCAAGCTGCTCTTGGAAGCGCAACAAATATTCGTTGGAGCGATAGCACTTTAAACAATCCTATTCAATTAACAAAAGATATAGAGAACTTACAACATTCTTTAACTGTTTTTACCAAAGTTAAAGGGAAATCTATTAAAATTAACGAGGATGCTGCTAAAAAATTATTAGCTGAATATCAATGTAAGGCAAATCTTGACCATAAAGAAATTAAAAACTATCTAGCAGCTGCTCTTCAACGAATGATTCTCGAAACAATCTTTTACTTCGCAGATAACTTATTTAAATACGCTAATCATGACAGCTTTAGCGATAAGCTTCTCGAGTCATATATAGTGTATTATACACATTATCTAATTAAAAATACAAATTTATTGGCTACAACTCGTGAAGGAAAAGATAGCGTGACTGCTATAACTCCAGTTAAAATTCGTCAACAAGTATACGCTGCTCTAGGATCTCGTGGATTCGCTAAACCCAACCATCCTCTCGTTTCCCATCTTATTAATAAAATCTTGGGCAAAATGGAAATGTATCGTGAAGTAATAGACGATGGAAATAAGAATGAACTACGTTCTGATGCTGAAAAAATTATTCGCACCGGACTACAATTATGGTTTTGTTTGAAAGCTCAAGAACCAATAGCAAAGGTTCAATGGTTTAAAGCCGGTGCTCATCTAGAATCACATCTTATCGTAGGTGCTTGGGAAAATGATAATATCAAAGAAATGGAGGTGGACTTTGCATATTTCCCTCTTATTATGTCTGAGCATGATAATCAAGTTTTTAGTAAAGCTCAAGTTTTTGTTCGTCCAAAGGCAAATGGAAGAACGAAAAAACTTTTTGGCATTTTTTAATTAGAGATTCGATTTTTTTTCTTTCTTTTTTTACAATCTTCTTTAAATTTTTTTATTATATGTATATACGCGAATTAAATAAATACATGATTTAATACATCAAAATGTTATATTGTAGCGAGTTACTAATAAGAAATTGGATTTCTTTCAATTAATTATTTAATACGTGATATAATAATCCAATAATCCAACTATTCAATGATGAAATAAATACATAAAAAAATTTTTTTAAAAAAAAAAAAACAAAACAAAATTTTACATATGAAAAAAATAAAAAAAAATTTTGATAAAAAGAACTGATTTTCATAATAGGTTTCTTGTTAAATATCCAAATCAAAAGTAGTCTCGTTGTAAACTCTACCAGTTCTTTTATTTTTAGCAGTAGCTTTAATTTCCATTTTACCAAATGCAAGCAAAAATTCAATAGGTCGATTTAAACCTAAATGAGTATCAGTTGCTCTAACCCTTAGAGTCCCTAATAGCTTCATTCCCGGATCATCGCAAAATTTCGCACCATATCTCGGAGTATAATAAATATTAAAAGATATAATTTCTTGATCGGGTCTTGTAGGAAAAAAATCTGTCATGAACTTTTGATCCACTCCAACACTTTTACCACGTTGTGCCAATTTATGAAAATAAAGTATTAGTCCATCATCCGTTTTCCTGGAGGCCTTGTCTTTTTTAGGTTCCTAAATGATATCCGGATATTTATTGATTAAATTAAATGGTGATTACTCTTGTTCATACTTTCAATAAAATGGTGTAATACTTGCCCATTTGCGACAAACTTCAATTCCATACGTCCATTTTAATATTCTATCTTGTACAATATCGATATTAAACCCGTATGTGATGGCACCACGAACTATGGCTGCTATTGGTAAAGCTGGTACAGAGATGATGGGAACTTTAGAGCTGAAACTCTCTCTAACTCTACGTTGTAAATAAGGGGATTCACTAAATCCTCCCACCAAAAACATTGCCGAACATTTTTCTCTCGAAGATTTTAATTGATCCTCAAGTAATTTAATAATTCGATTAACAATAGGATCAAACATTTCTACAACGGAATCAAAATCAACTCTTAACACCCATCCAACTTGTTCCATTTGTTCCTTGTAATTTCCCGTGACATATCTGTTCAAATCAGGACAATAATATGGTACATTTAATTTTAAGGGTCTATATTCTAATTTGTCTCCATTAAATTTATATTTGATACGTTGACAAAAAAACCTTTGTACTATAAATTGCATTTGCCCATAATGATTTGATTTTAATGCTTCTAAAGCATCAGTGCCTAATTTCTTTCCAAGCCATTTTAAAAATCTTTTATCTATGAATGAACCACCACATAAATCACCGACACGTTCGGTAATTTCACTTAATCTATTTCCTGGAAGAAGTTTTCGTGATGTTAAATCAATTGTACCACCGCCACAATCAGCTACCAAGAAGGAATCTATTTAAGAAACGAGTTAGTCATTATAATTATGAATTAACTTTTTTAACACAGTAAGAATGTAATCTATACCCCCCGGTCCTAGGTGATGCTCATTCATGACACTAAGACAGTGAAGTGCCGCAGCTTCGGCTGATGGAAATATGCAAGAATTATGATTAAAAAAAAAAAAGATAAGAGAGACAAATATCAAAATAACATACGTACGTTCAGTAGTAAATTCGATATTATTTGAATTAAGAGAACTCAATAATCCTGCACCGTGTGCACATTCTCTCATGATTCTGGTTGTATTTGGAGGCTATAATTTTAAAAGGTTTTACAAAACAGTTGGATAACTAATGATAATAATTTAAATCAATGTAGTTAAGACATACCCATTCGGCAGGAATTGTAAATACGAAATCGACTTGTCGTGGAAAGCTTACATTTGGCCATCGTCTCTTTAGAGTATCTTTGATTAACTCGCCCAATTTACTTAAATAATCTTTAACGGCTTTTTTATAACCAAATCTGGGTGGTAACCAAGGTTTATCATTCCATCCTAATGTTGACAAATGTAACTTGAACAGTTCTACAGGACGTGTACGTTGTTCTTCCAAATCGTCTGATCCTTCTTCTAACTCATCAGGTTCTTCTACTAATGCGTTATATCCCCAGTTTATAACTTTATTATATCTTTCATCATATTGAAGTGCTGTGGGTGTTTTAAAAACACCTTCTCTCCCTGGCCTAATTAAAATAAATGTGAATCTTTTTGTGAAAAATCGAAGACAATTTACGTTAATTGAAAATATACTCACCAAGAATTATTTACAACGACATTTTCAGGGTTCTCTTTATGGGCATAAGCGAAGCCTGAGTAAGTTGTTCCAAAGTCAATTGCAACAAGGATTCTAGTATCTCGTAAATTCATATATATTAATGTTCCCGGGAAATTTTTTTTTTTGAGAAAATTAAAACATGAAAATTAATCCTTTTTAAGCTCCTTTGCCCCACATTTGAAACTGAAACAAGATATAAATCAAGTTTTTAATAGTTTTGGTATAAATAAATTTTTTTTTTTTTTTGGAAAAAAAAAAATTTCTTTTGCTTTTATTTTTATAGCTTTAAAAATGGCAGAGAAAGGTCCAAAGTCTCATACAAATAATAAAATGATGAATCAATCACAATTCCAGGGAACTTATCAGATTCATACTTTTGATTTTTATGATTGGAAATTATTTATGTGGTTTGCTTCTTTGAAACAAATTCAACATGTGGTTCATTTATTCATCATAATTTGGGACGCTACTCCAATTGAAAATGATATGGATCTCGCAATAGAATTTAATGATGAGACGAGTAAAATGGTTGAAATTATTGAAGAATTAAATTCTTTAGGAGCAGTCGATGATTTAAAATTTTCTAAAGTTATAGATAATTATAGAGATTATCGTTATAATAATCCAGCTTTAAAAAATAAATTGATAAATTCTGCTTGGAAAAGTTTAGAAGCAAGCGGATTACATGATTTTTCTCATGCTGTCTCGGAACAATTAGATGTTTGTTCAAACCCTCAAAAACTTTCTTTAAGACAGATGATTTTTTCTAGAATGAAATCTTTTAATATACTTGCAACACAAATGTCAAAAGTAAAAGAAACCAGCGGAACTAATTCACTTTTAAAAGAAAATGAAAAATTAAAAAATCAAATATTGGCCTTGAAAAAAGAAAATTCACAACAACAAGCAGCTCTTGGTAATATAACAAATGTATCCTGGAATTATGACGATCCAAATAATGCAGCTAAGTTAATCTCTGATATTGAAGAATTACAAGATTTGCTCTCAGATTTTACGATGGTTCAGGGAGGGGATTATAAGATTAATGATATGACATCAGAAAATCTTTTAAAGGATTATAAATGTCAAGTAGAATACCCGAGTATGAAAGGAAGGGTTGTTTTAGGAGCCGTACTTCAACGGTACGTAATCACGACAATCTTGAAAGAAGCCGAACTATATTTAAAAAGTACTCCTTCTTCTGAAGATCATGCAATCGACATTAGTCTTGAATGCGATATTGTTAATGCCACCGAAAATTTAATTAGGTATACAGAATTATTCAAGGATAACCGTAAAGGAGAAGACGAGTTCACTAAAATTACACCAGACAGAATTCGTCAGCAGAGTTATTCAGCTCTTGGGTGTCGAGGCTTTTCCAATGATGAACATCCGTTAATTAAGGGAACAGTAGATAAATTGTTGAATGAGTTGGACAAATTTAGACAAGTTGTAGATAAAGAAACCAACGATGAATTACATGATCAAGCTATTAAAATAACTCGTAGCGTTATTAATATTTTTTGTTTTCGTTTAAAGACACAATCTTTAAAACTAAAACATCAATTTTTCGAAGCTGGTCATGATGTGGACGCTCGTCTCATGCAAGGAAGTTTTGGACGTGATGATTCTAAAAGGGTGGAGGTGGAAGTCTGCGCCTTTCCTTGCATTGGTGTATTCAATGGTGATGATCGATCAAATCAAAGCGTATTTACAAAGGCTCAAGTAATTACAAGACCGAAGAGAAGTAATAGTGGCAACATTGACAAGTAATTAAGGATCAAAGAGAGGCGATAGTTAAATTATCGAATTGGAATTTTGAATTTTTTTTTTTTTTTTATAATTATTTCGTAAATATGTATTTATAAGTTTATCTATAAAAATATTTTTATGACGAATAAATTTAATAAATTTATCTTTTTATTTAAAATTCAATTCATTATTGTCATTTAATTGGACAGATTATTTAAGTTTTAAAACATCCAAAGGTTTTAAGAGTAACCTTTTTCAGAAACAATGAGATATATTAGGGAACAATTTTACCATCTATGTACTGGATATATTATGATGTCATTTGTTTTTTTAAACAAATTTTTCTCTCATCCATAAAATATTTCTAAAAGAGAATGCCTAATTGTCTTTATTGTTCAGAATACGAACAAGATTTAGATCCTGACGGGCGTTCCGGTGAATATTGTAGTGATGATTGTCGTAGGAAAGCTTTAACTTCAGGATTTACGAAACCCTGTATACATTGTAAGGAATTTGCTAAACTTGAATCAAGTCAATACTGTGGCTGGTTTCAATGTAGAAACGTATCAAAGTGCACGTTAAAGTGTATGACCTGTAAAGTAAGTGCGGATAATGATTTATTCTTATTTGGATGGGAGAGCGTTTATTTATATTAATTATATGATTTGAATTATTATAGGAAAATGACGTTACGGTGTTAAATTCTTTATGGTGTTCTAAACGATGTCGAAACAAGACACCTAATTGGAAATCCTTGGTAAAGAGTCAGGAATTATGTTTGAAGTGTAAAGAAGTTTATGCACCTTTTAAGAAAGATTTTTGTGCAAAATGTGAAGAATGGGTTAATTGGAACGGTAGGTACAAACCTTTTTTTTAATGAACTGGAATCGGTTTATTTTTTCAATTTTTTTCAAAATTATCTCTACATAATTAGGACCTTGTGTATTCAAACTTTCTAAAACTAGTGAAAAATATGAAGATGTTTCTAATCAATTTGAAAATTCTTGGAAACACGTGAGCAAGGTTTTACCAAGAATACATACAATATACAAACTTTTTCTCGATGAGCAAATTAAATCACAGTACAACGAGCATCGAGAAAATATTGAAAAATTAAGGAAACTTGAGGGTCGACCATTTCCCAAAGGTGATGGCAAGCGTCTAATGACAAAAGGAAATGAGCAACGTAGATTTCATGGAACAATAATGTAAGAGATTGGTAATATTAATCAACAATCGGCTACACGTTCTTTTTTTTTTAAAAAAAAAAAATTATTATTTAGGGAATGTCTTTTGGGGATTGAGACGGATACACTTTGTTCGAATTTAAAATGTGCAGTATGTGGAATAATAACGGAAGGATATAAATTAGAATATGCAAAATCATCTAGATTTGGATGTCAAAAATTTGGGGAGGGAATTTATTTTTCAGGAACATCATCAAAATCCGATGATTTCAATGGCAAATCTTTAAAAATCTTCGAAGGTATAAAGTATAAAGTAATGTTTTTAAATAAGGTAATTGTAGGTAGAACTTTTGAATTAATTCAAGCAGACAAAAGTCTAACGGGCCCTCCAAAAAATTATGATAGCGTTGTTGGGGAACCTGGTTCTTTACTTAATTATGATGAATTAGTCGTATATAATGAATCTGCTTGTATTCCTCAATATCTTATTGTTTATGAAAAAAGCAAAAAAATTAAAGTGAAGAATTCATAATCATTTGAGTGATTGTTCATTTTTTCTTCAAGAATGTTCATTTTATTATTAGATATAAAATAATATATATAATATACAATAGGTAAAAATAATTCAAAGAAAGGTAAAATCTTGAAGCGGTAATCAGGATTTCTTAGGTCTCGCGAATACTTGAGCTTTTGTAAAAACTTTTGGATTGGATGAAGTAACCTCATTATCGCGAATCGCTATGCAAGGAAAGTAACAAACTTCAACCTCTAATTTCTTAAAATCTCCTCTACCCCAAGAACCTTCCATAAAACGAATATCTATTTCGTCCCCACTTTCAAAGAAACGATACGTTGGTTCAAATTGTTGATGAATTTGTTGAATTTTTAAACGGAAATATATTATACTAATAACTTTACGAGTGATTTGAATCGATTGGTCAATTGAATCTTCTATATTTTCATCATTAATTTTACGATATTCATCCATCGTTTGACGTATCTTTTCCGCTATACCTACAATTAATGGATGATCATAATTCGAAAATCCACGACATCCAAGAGCAGAGTAAATTTGTTGACGAACTTTAATTGGAGTGATTTGTGTAATATTATCTCTTCCTGGACGTTTTTCACGAAAGCGATTTACAGATTCTATTAATCTATTGGTGGTATTTAAAATTTCGATTTCTAAGGTTTCATCGTTATCCGAATTTGATATATGTTTCTGGAAATATGAGTTAGCATCAGTTAAAATTTGTTCTATGATAAGTCGTTGAAGACAGCCTTCTAAAATCGTTTTAGCTTTTGGATTCGTAAATTCTAATTGAACTTGCTTACTAGCAAACAATTCTTTTGCTTTTTCATCATTAATCACAGATTCATAAACTGTGGTAAAATCCGAAAGTTGCTGTTGTAGGTCCATTATATCCGAATTTAATTTGGCAGCGTTATTTGGATCTTGATCATTCGGACGAGTATTTGTCATATTTCCTAAAGCTGCTTGAAGATGGGAATTTTCATTATCCAAAGTGGCAATTTGTTCGCGTAAACTTTCCACTGATTTAATCGAAACGTTAACAAATGAATCCATCCTATCCAATATCATTTGACGTAAAAGCTTTTTTTGAGAAGCTTTTAAACCGACTAATTTTGACTTTAATTGTTGATGTTGAAATTGATTCTCTAAATCATAACTTAGCAATTTATGATAAGCATCAGATGAAAGTCTATTCCTTTCTTCATGATTATTAGAATTAATATCTCGACAAGTTCTATAATTATCTAATAAACAAGAATATTTATCGAATTCTTCGTCATTGATAACCTGATTTGCTAATAAGCCTTTAATGTGATCTTTCATTTGATTCACTTCTCCATTAAATTCTTCAAAACCATTATCGTTTTTAAGACCGATAACATTCCAAACCAAGATAAAAAGATCTACGTAATTATCAAATTGCTTAAGTGAAGCAAGCCACATGATAAGTTTCCAATCGATTCCAATAACATCTTCAATATAAGGTCCGTTGTTATGTCTAAACATATTAAATTTTGGAAAGAGTCAATTATAAAAAAACAAAAACAAAAACAACCTTGTATAACGATCAAGTTAGGTAAAGATTATCGCTCCAAAAAAAAGGAGGAACGTCGTGAAACAATGTCATTGTCATGCAAAAATGATTTTATGAAAACTCTCTCTCTAATTTATAGAGAAAATTTTTAGGTAATGTCTCTACGCGATACCAGAATTCTTGTCGCCATAGACTTTGGAACCACTTTCTCAGGCTTCGCCTATGTACATAAAGGAGACTCAAAAAAAAACCCAGATATTGTAACTAATGATATTTGGTAAGTTGACTGAAAGTTTCGAATTACAAGAGGATAGATACTAAATAAAAATTGATTAAAAAATTGAAAATTATATTGTTTATCCGGAATAAAAGGCCAGATAGCGTAGGTGATTATAAAACTCCTACAGCACTTCTGTATAATAAAACTTATACACAAGTTAAAAGTTGGGGTACTTTGGCCCTGGAGGACGAATCCGATTACGATTATGAATCAGATGAATTGCGCCCTCGTCCGGTCGAACTCTTTAAATTATATATTTCCGATTTGGAAGATTATCAAAAACCTTGGTTGCCTTCGGAATTAAAATATACGAAAGCGATCGAAGATTACTTAACTCAAATGCAACGATGCATTAAAGATACAATAACGAGAAGATGGCCGGACATTGAATTCCCGTCACAAGTTGGATTGATGCTAACCATTCCTGCTGAATGGGTATGTTATTCAAGGTATTGATGAAAGATTTATTTCTTTTATTTTTTTTTTAAAATTTTTTTTTTTTAAAAAAAAACATAAAATATAGCCACATCATACTACAGCGATTATGCGTAATTGCGCATACAAAGCTGGACTAATTAAAACAAAAGACTCAACTAACCTTGAATTTACTACAGAACGTATGTATGATTGATTTCATATACTATATTATCATCAAATTATTAAAAGTCTCTTTTTCTTTCCCTTTTTTATTATGTTATAGCGGAAGCAGCAGCTTTATATTGTCTGGGTGTTGTTGGGGAACACGGTCTTCGTCCTGGAGGTAATGATACCTCTTTTTTTTTAAAAAAAAAAAAAAATAGAAACGGTACTTAATTAAATCGTCGTATTTTCTTCAAATAAAGATACTTTCTTAGTTGCAGATTGTGGCGGTGGTACAGTCGACATAACAACACAACTTCTTCAGGATAACAAACTAAGTGAAATTACTGAACGTGTCGGCGATTTATGTGGTAGCACATTCATAGATAAGGAGTTTTTACGTTGGCTTGGACGTAAAGTTGGATTTCAAGCATTAGAAAAATTAAAAACATATAGTTATGGACAAATACAACATTTGGTTCAAAATTTTTTTTGTCCTTTAATTAAATTTAAATTTAACGGTAAAGTGGAAGATTTTAGACAAGCAAGACTTAATTTATATAAATATTGTGACAATTTACCACAATATATTACAGGAGAACATAGACAAAAAATGGAAATGGATAACTGGACGTTAAAACTTGATTTTATATCGGTGAAAGAAATGTTTGACCCTGTCGTAAATAGAATATTAGAATTAATTGAGAGTCAATTAATTGAGGCTAATGAAAGATGTTCTGCATTGTTCTTGGTGGGCGGATTTGGCGAATCTCCTTACCTTCTGCGCAGAGTGAGAGAAACCTTTGGAAGCAGGGTTCCAAGTATTTCTGTGCCAATTAATTCAAAAGCCGCGGTCGTTAGGGGTGCTATAGTATATGGCTTAAATATTGACGTTGTGAAGAAACGCGTTCTTAAATGGACTTATGGTATCCAGGTCTGTCGAGATTGGGTACGTATGATCTATTCGAAATTTTTTTCAAATCCAATTCTTCTTTTTGAATAAAATTTATCTCGATACATACATTTAGGTTGCAGGCGATGACGAAGATAGGAGAACACCTGATGGAAAAATATTTCAATTTCGTAGAATTGTTCAACGTCGTACTCAAGTAGAAGTCAACAAACCATTTCCAGAAACGTGTTACCCGGTTAAACCAAACCAAACCAGTGCATTATTTAAAATTTATTATACTACAAAGGATAATGCTATATATTGTAATGATCCTGGTGTAAAATTATTAGGAACTTTACGAATTATAATGCCAGATACCAAAGATGGTCTTAATCGTCCAATAGAGTTTTTTTTGACGTTTGCTAGATTAGAAATTAAAGCAACCGCAATAAACAAACGGAATGGGAAGGTTTATAATGAAACACGTTTTGAATTGGATATTTGAATTATGTATATTTTTTTTTTACTGTATCAAGGTTTTTTTTTTTTGGTAATACTTAATTAATTAAAAAAAAAAAATTAAAAATTTTTGGTTAAGAAAATTATTTTGCTTTGAGAAGATATTTTTTAGTTATCGGTGGTACGTAATATTAGACCGTCTTGAACGAAACTTATGTCTTCGATAGTAAACTCGTGTATAAAGATCTAAAAATAAAAATTAAAATAATATCTTTTAAATTATTTTATATGAAATAAACTTATGGAGTCTAAATAGTAAATTTAAATTTAAAAGAAAATCTTTATCAATAATTTAAAAAGGGTTTATTATTATTATGATAATAATATATTATAAATTAAATAAGCTAAAAAGAAAATTAATAAATATTAAAAAATATAAATACAGTCAGAACTCGATATAACGAACCTTCTGGTTTACTATGAAATTTTTTAAAAAAAATCGGTTTATCAAAATTTATAAGTTCTATATAACGATTTTTATATGTTCAAATATAAAGTCAAAATTTTTAAAAAAATCGTTTTAACAAGATTTTATTAAGTGATCGTTATATCGAGAATCGTTATATCGAGTATTAACAATTATATTTTTATAATATGAGTATTTCTATAGATAGTAATATATGTTATAAAGATTTAAAAATACTATTAAAAGTATAAATAGAAGATTTAAAATATAATAATCTTTTATATATTCTTAGTAATATAAATACATATTATTGCTTATAAGTATTTTATATTATTAATTAATTTTGCAAAAAAAAAAAAATATTTTTTATTTATATTTTATAGTATAAATATTATAAAAATATAAAGTTTAATAATATTAATAATATAATATTAAACTAATACTATCAATAATATATTCATAAAAATAAAAAATACATTATTTATAAATTTTGAAATTTAATATAATTTTGATGATACACAGCCTTTTCAATTAGTTGAATATTCATAAAGAAGATATATGCTAAATATTTTATTATATAAAAATATATTATTAAATACAAAAAAATTAAGAATAAATAAATTATAAATATATTTGCTTTTAAAATCAAAAAAACAATATATATGTGTTTTACAATAGAAAGTATAAATACTACTCTAAAAATAAAAAGGAGATTTAGCCAGATTCAATATAAACAACATTTTCAATTATAAATGAAGATCAATTTATATAGTAAAAATCAAGATATGTTAATTTAAAAATGTTACATTAAAAAAGTTTAGCATTTAAAAATAATATAAATTGATTTTATTGATTAAGTAGAGGATCTGCGTTTAAAAATAGATAACTTCATTTTCTTTGTAATAGAAAAGGCAGTAAATTTAATTCTTCTTTTAAAGAAATATAAAATATAAAAAAATATATATATATTATTTTTTGAATACTTCTTATACATTGAAATATAATTTTATATATATATATAGGATTCCTCAAAATTGAATCAAATCAAATTGAATTAAATTGAATCGAATATAAAAAAATTTTAATTTTTATAATAATATATTAAAATAAGTTATTCTAAGTTTTAATTAAAAAAAATTATTAGTAATTGCACTAAAAAATTTCAAAGATAGCTTTTACAAATTAAGTTTAGTAACAGGTGAAATTTTACTATTAAATTTAGTAAAATAACTCAGCAGTCTCAGTTTTACTAAGAAAACTTAATAATAACTGCTATTATGGCTTCAGTTTACTAAGAAAACTTAGTAATAATCACTATCTTAGCTTCACAATTATTTTATTAGTAAAAAAATGTTTCTGAAGTTGTGAACACATTTTTTTATTAAGTTCTTAGTAAAAATATGTTTCAAAGTTGCAGTCATGATTTTTTACTAAGTTTCTTAGTAAAATAATGTTTCTGAAATTGTGAAGGTATTTTTACTATATTTTCTTAATAAAATAATATCTCTGAAGCTATAAAAGCATTTTTTACCATATTTTCTTAGTAAAATAATGTCTTTAAAGGCATTTTTACTATATTTTCTTAGTAAAATAATATCTCTGAAATCACAAAGGCATTTTAAATTATGCTTCTTAATTAAATGAAGTCAAGGAGGTATTTTTTACTATATTTTCTTAGTAAAAAGGCATTTTCAAAGCTGCGAAAGCACTTTTTACTATAGTTTTCTTAGTAAAAGCTACTTCTAAAGCTAGAGCTTTAAACAGGTTGGATCAGGTCGGATAATTGACTTGACCTGACCTGATAAAGTCAGGTCAGGTCAGACATAAAATTGACCTGAATTAAATATACATTTGACTCGACCCGACCTGACCTGTCTAAAAAAGAAAACTAAACAATTATTAATTTTGTTTAATATTTTTTTAAAAAAATATAAAAAAAT